CAACTCCTTACGGTCAGCTGTCGAACTGGGGGTGGGGACATTCTGCGTTTCTTCCAAGATTTGAATTTGTTACCCTAAGATGGGCCTGGACAGCACACTGAAGCAGAGTCCGCAGAGCCTGCAGTAATAATGAAAGTCACTTTCCTCCCATCAAACTTCTGAACAGACCCACTTTGCAGATGTCACACGAGCTTCACACGAGCTTCATCTCCATCTCTCTTCCTCAGTGAAGCTTCCAGAAAGCAGAGGAATGACCAAAACAAGGAGAAACAAGATGAAGATCCAGGAGAAAAACAAAGGGTCAGAATCTTCTAAAAGCTGCACAGCACCTTAGGAATGGTGGACCTAACAGTAACCTATGACAACAGGCTGGCCTGTCCTTGGCCTTACAGATTCACACAGCTAGATTAATTAGGTTTCTACTGCTGTGGTAAAACACCATGATCAAAAGCAACGTGGGGAGGAAAGGGTTTATTTTAGCTTACATTTCCACATCACACAGTCCATCGTCAAAGAAAGTCAAGGCAGGAACTCAAGCAACATAAGAACATGGAGGAGCTGATGCAGCAGCTGATGCAGCAGCCATGGAGGGGTGCTGCTTACTAGCTTGCTCCTCGTGTCTTGCTTAGCCTGATTTCTTATACCACCCAAGACCACCTGCCCAGGTGCACCTGCACCACCCCCAGTGAGCAGGACCCTCCCGTATCAGTCAATAATCAAGAAAATGTCCCACAGGCTTGTCCATAGGCCAATCTGGTAGAGGCATTTTCTTCAATGAGGTCCCTTCTTCCCAAATGACTCTCCCTTCTGTCAAGTTGAAGTAAAACTAGCCAGCACAGAGTATACCCTATCTCACAGGCCGTTCGTTGAGATTTACATCAGTGTTGTGGGGACTTCTTAGTTGGCACCTGTACTAGTCACTCTTTCTCTTGCTGTGACAATATACCTGGAAAAAGCAACTTGAGAAAGGGAGGATTTCCTCTGGCTTACAGTTTCAGGGTAGGCCCATCATGGCTGGGAAGTCAATGGGCAGGAGCTGGAAACAGCTGCATATTGCACCTGCAGTCACATTGGGCCTGCAGACATTGCACCTGCGGTCACATTGCATCTGTAGTCATATTGCATCTGCAGTCACATTGCACCTGCGGTCACATTGCATCTGTAGTCATATTGCATCTGCAGTCACATTGCACCTGCGGTCACATTGCACCTGCAGTCACATTGCATCTGTAGTCACATTGCACCTGTGGTCACATTGCACCTGCAGTCACATTGCATCTGCAGTCACATTGCACCTGTGGTCATATTGCATCTGTAGTCATATTGCATCTGCGGTCATATTGCATCTGCAGTCATATTGCATCTGCGGTCATATTGCACCTGCGGTCATATTGCATCTGCAGTCATATTGCATCTGCGGTCACATTGCACCTGCAGTCACATTGCATCTGCAGTCATATTGCATCTGTAGTCATATTGCACCTGCAGTCACACTGCACCTGCAGTCACATTGCACCTGCGGTCATATTGCATCTGTGGTCACATTGCACCTTTGGTCACAAAGCAGAGAGGAACAAATGTTGATGCTCAGTTTTCTTTCTTCTTTTATTCAGTCAGGAAGCCTAGCCGGTGGAACCCTGCCACACACTTACACTGTATCCTTCCACCTTAATTAACCCAATCTAAAATTTCCTTCATAGACCTGCCAGAGTTCTGTCTCATTGGTGGTTCTAGAGCCTGTCAAGTTGAAGATCAATATTAACCATAGCGGTGCCTGTACGATCACAGAGCAGGACGCACTGGCCTTTGTTCCCTCTTTACCCTCTATGCTCGGGTTCCTCCTTCAGTGGAAGGCCTCTAACATCCTTTGCTTTCCACTCTCCCGGTATCTGGGCTCTCACTCTCGTCACACCAGTCACAGTCCCAAAGGGGGACAGACCAAACAACTCTAACAACGGTCACAGAAGCCCAAACCGACGGCTCCTTTATTCCAAAAAGATGCAAGGTCTCCTACAAGGTGATGATGGGATTCTACCTGAATGTAAAGGGCTGTCGTGAGTGTGCTGGACCTCCAGCCCAGAAACAAGCATCGTAATTTAGCTCTCTGCTTAATTTCAACTCCAGGACAGTTGTCTAGCTAAGGATTACTCTAGCCTACGCTTAAAACAAAAAGGTCAACGCCTAAGAGAACTATGGTCCTTAAGCTATCACACCCACCGGATCAGCAGCATCCTATAGGAGCTTGTCTGGATTGTAGAATTCCAAGCCTACCCAGTCCTAGAATCTGAAACCACATTTTAACAAAATTTTCAGATAATTCTTTAAAATTTGAGAAATGTTTGGCTAGGATAAAACTTTTTAGCAATACTAACGTATAGGCCCCACTATGGGCCGATTTAATCGATGCTTCTGGAAGCGGGGCCTGGCGTCTGTACATTTCAGAGCCTGACAGCTTGTTCCAGGGCACAGCCAGAAGAGAGAGCCACTCTTTGACGGAAGCAAAACTCAGAATCAAAGCGGAAAGCCCTAGGTACCGTGCACGACGCTAAGTTCCACTCCCTAAACAGCAATCAGGCATTCGCCTAGTAACAAGGGATTCCTAAAATATTTGCCCTTTTCCAAGCAGAGGCAACATCAGCCTTTTGAATGGCTCCTCATTGTCCATGCCTCATAAAAATGTGCCGGGCCTCCACTGCCTGGGGCTCGAGAACAGTGCTCCCATCCCTTTGTTAACAGAGGTCTAGCCCCGGGCCGCCAGACATGGGAAATGGCCCCCTTTTGAGGTTGCTTCTCTTTCTGCTTTCGCCGCCCCTGGTATTTGTGATTCTGGACAAGGCATATGGCTTCTTACCATGTCATTTTCCTCATTTGCAGAGGGAAAACACAGTGTCCATTGATTCCTTTGGTTAAGCTGACTGGTGTCCCTGGCTCCTGTCCAGTGACTGTTTCTCTGCAGCAATCCTCAGCTGGGGTTGAGCCAGGAAGGGGATGGCTGCTCACTTGGAGCATAAGCTCCGAGGGCTCTCTGTCCTGCGAGCTCTCCGAGTGCCAGCTTGTTCCACTGATTCTCCTCCACAGGGCCAGGTCCAGCAGAAAGCCTTGGAAGTGGCTTGTGAACAGAAATACTACTGAGCTCTGTTGGGGAAATATTATTTTAAGGTGTGTTATTTTTGTTTATGTTGCATTGGTTGGACTCTGTGAAGCTGTGTTACTGTGCCTGTGTAAACTATCTGATGGTCTAAGAAAGAACTGAAAGGCCAATGGCAAGGCAGGAGAAGGGATAGGAGAAAAAAAATTAATAGAAAGAGAAATCTGGGAGAGGGGAGATCTAGTAGCCAGAGAAGGAGGGGCCAGCCACACAGCTACACAGCAAGCCACGGAATAGGAAATAATGAAAGGGATACAGAAACAGAGAAAGGAAAAAGCCCAAAGGCAAAAGGTAGAAGGGATAATTTAAAGTTAAGAAAAGCTGGCAAGAAACAAGTCAAGCTAAGGCTGGACATTTGTAAGTAAGAAAAAGCCTCTGTGTGGATTTATTTGGAAGCTGGGTGGTGCTTCCTAAAGAGTAAAGAGCAAAGAGCTAAGAGCCAAACAAACAAACAACATGGCTCCCCTGAAATGTGTGTGTTCAATGCAAGTCCAGGTTCCAGCAGAGCCAGACTTCAGGGATATAAGCCAGTTTTCAGGGAACCCTCCTCCAAATGACAGGATAAACTCTCTGTAACTACATCGCAACACACTTACTACCACCGTGTCTACAGTTGTCGATGACGTCTGTATTTCATTTGAACATCACCATATCACACATCACTGTGGTCATTCTTCGTAACCTATGTCTGTTCGTTACTGCTCCCATTGCCACTGGTGTAAGCATTTCATGTGCACACTACTTACTGTTAGATCTTCACCACCATTTGGGGAGATAGTCGATATGATTATGCTCATTGCACGGAGGCAAAAACCAAGGTTTAAATAATAAGTCACTTGGTCCAGGTTCCATTCAGGGAACATGGCAGAGGCTAGATACTATCCAGGTCTATGTTATTGCAATGTATGTAGCTCCAAACAATGGCCCAATCCCTCATCTCTGGCCTCTCGGGGACAGAGTATTCTGAATTAGGTCTTCCTATACTTGTTTGGGAACTGGCCATAGTTAGTATATGTCAGGATCAAAATTATTCGGGACCAATAACTAAGACTGGAAAATAAACTTATATTCCATTTTCAAAAAAATACCAAAATAAGCTTAATATGGAATATTTTTTTAAGTAAAACAGAAGCACTAGGAGAAAATATAGTTGGATAGTTGGAAAATCCTGAAGTAGAGGACTTCATATAATAACATCAAAAGCAGAAGCCGTAAATTAAAACACTAAGAATCTTGACTGCACCAAATGTTAAAAACATCAATTTAAACGTAAAAGCAGTCAGCAGACAGAGGTGGAGCACAGTGGTGGAGCACTTGCCTAGCACGTGCCAGGCACTGGGTTCAGTCTCCAGTATGGGGTGGGTGGGCAATTGGCAAGTGGCAGAAAATTGTACCGTGTAGGAAAAAAATTAGATTGGGTACACAAAATGTCCTTACAAGCCAGTAAGAAAAAGATGAATATTTAAAAGTAAAGTAGACTAATATTTGTAACTGATGAGGATAAAACTCAGGCACCAGACTTTTGCATTCTCTGCAGGTGGGAGTGTAAGTTGACATAACCTTTCCAAAGGTTGATTTGATAAGGTGTAGTGAAACTTTTAAAAAATGCAGAACAGTTGACCCAGCCATTTTGAGGAATACATCTTAAGGAAATAATTAAGGACCTGCACGGTGGCACAGCAGGGCAATGACCCCGAAATGTTGTGGACAGAGGTTTTAAAAATTAAAGTGTCACCATCCTAAAAAACCCAGTAAAGGAATGGCTAAAAATATCACACTACATCCTGGCAACAGAAGGACCGCTTAATCATTAAGGAGGCAGCACTTCCATTGAACCGTAATCATTGAAAGGATGCTCGTGTGGAAAGATGTTCGCAGTGCATTGTTTAGAAAAAGGAAAAAACCAGTTATCCTACAAAATAGTCGTGTTTGTACCACGATGTACAAGGAAGACTCATCTCTAGGTAATAAGTATGTTTATTTTCTTTTGTGTGTTTGTGTCTTTTCATTAATTCTAGGATAAAGATGTACCGGTTTTTTTTGTAATAAACAAAATACCATTGAAGTCATCAGCATCACAGAGGCCCAATCCTGCTTCTGAGTGGCCTAGAACAGGATGGTGGGGGTTGGTTAGTCATGACCTTGACATACCCCTCAGGAGAAGTACCTCCCAGCAACTTTCAAGGGACACTGGTCCTGTGGTAGGCATCCACAAGCCCTAAGAAGATGTACCCTTCCCGGCAATCAATCCATTCTTAACTTTTCCCTGTCTCCACTCTATAGGAACCTGGGTCTCTGCGTACAGAATCCAGACAAGCGCATCCCCTGTAAAGGGTATCCAGGAAATTGGAGGCACAAATAAAGGCAACCTGTGCTGAGAAGCCCCGCGGAGCAGGAAAAGCCCCTATTCCTCCAGGCCCCGTGGTAGAGCTTGTGTATTCTAGAGATAGGTTCTCTCTTCTTTTAATCTGTTCTTAAAACACCCCCGTGAAGTCTCCTGTCCTGAGTTAAGCTTCATCCGTGATTCATGGTGGTCGCCTTTCTCTGCAAATGTTGACGTCGGCATCCACGTCTGCTGCTACCTCTGGACTCAACCCCACCCATACCCCACCTCATCCCACCTCACCCCACCTTACCCCACCCCATCCCATCCCACCACACACAGACACCTGGGCCTGGGCCGACCCCTAGGAGGCACCAAAGCAGGTAACGGAGGTGTGTGCGAGGGGGCAACACCGGGATCTGCAGGCTCGGGCAGGGCCCCCACGCGTTTCTGTAAACTCATTTGCAATTAACGACTCTCTGACAGGGGCCTGGGGTACAGCCCCCAGAAATCGGGCTGTGTAACGCACCGGGACGGCGGGTTCTCAGACATCCGGCGGAGACCTGCCCCTTTCCCGACCTCCACCCCAGAGCATCGGGTCTCATCTAGATCAAACGCCCTTCGGGAGGGAGTCCCTGACTCCGGGGGCCCCTGCGCTTCGTTCTCTGCAGCCCCGCATCTCCTCTTGGCCAGCCTGAGGTCGGTCCTCGGATCCCACCGCCTCCGAGAGGCCGGGGTCCCGCGCCGGAGCCCGCTGAGCCCCGGCATTTCGGGGACAGGGTCCGGCGGGGCGGGGCCTGAGGCTGTGGCCCGCGGCCTGAGTTTTCCACCGCCCACGCCGCAGGCGGGAGGTGCACCGAGCCCAGGGTCGCCGCCGCCGCACACCGCAGGACCGCCTGGCACAGGATGGGGGAGGAGGCAGGGGGCCCACGGCCATTAGGGGGGTGCGCAGCCAGACGAGCCGGGCAAACTGACTCCGGACTCGGGGAACGGAGGGGAAGGTCCCGCGATCAAACCACCCCAGCTGCCGAGCCCACGGAAGGCCGGAACCCATTCACGCAAAGATGAGCTTTTAGAAAGAAAACTGAAATAGTACTAGCAGCCAGAGCGGCAGGGAAGGGGGGCGGGGGCTTGTCTGTAAATCAGGCTTTCGCGCGGGGACTCAGATTTTTGCAATAAGCACTTAATTAAAAATAAAATAGATTGAAGCAGTTGGCAAGTCGCGTTCCTGGGAAGGTAAAAAAAAAAAAAAAAATACAGTGGACTGACTCCCCCCCACACCCCAGATGCTCCACCTGCCTGCTGTAATTACAGGGCTTCAGAGAGGAGGGAAAAAACACGACACAGAGAAATCTGCTTGCATATTTTTTTTCTCTATTGTGCTCGGCTCATTTGAATTATAATGTGTTGCAGGCCAGAGTAGAAAATTTTGTGCCTTGAATAATGAATCCCCCTGGAGCCCCCGGTACCTGTACTTCTTTTTAGTGTCCACTGAGAATAACGTGTTCGACATTCAAGTGACAGCACAGGAAAGGATTTCAAAGCCCCGAAGCCCCAGCACGCTGTACACCCCGACGGCTCTTCTGCCTGCCCCCTCTTTGCCTTCCAAATGCGGCAAGCTCTTTCTTTACTTAGAATGGGCTCTTCCTTTACACCGAGCCTGGCTGTACCACAGAAACGCAGCCAAGACAGGAGGGCGCGCAGTTCTAGAATCCGAGCTGGTCCTGCCCTAGCTTCGTGTGAGCTGACTATTCAGACAATTCTAAACGAAAACACTGCCATCCCAAGCCCAGGCAGGCTTTTCCACCGCCAAAATCACTCTGCCGTGCTTAAGCAAGGCTTTCTCTAAAGGAGGATAACAAACAAGCAGTCATTTAATAAAGCAGACGGGGTCCGAGTCACAGGCAGCAGCATCCTAGCCTTTGGATACTCAACTCGATGGTTCTGTGACACTGTGACGGAAGTTTTCAGGGGCAAATGCTGGGGTTGGGGTGGGGGGGGATATGAAAATGTCAGTAAGATGAGAAAATGGAGGATTTGCAAGTCATAAAAGCCAAGTGGCCTCAAAGCAGAACTTTGCAGCAAGGTTTTGTTTGTTTTGGTTGAAAATTCTTTCTGGTTGGATACAGTCTTTTTAAAAACAAGTCACTTTTAGCCAACAAGATTAAGGTTTAGGCTATCTGCTCTGATACACCTATTTATCAAAAAAAGAAAAACATACTAATGTGGAAGGATTTCCAATATACATTAGTAAATAAATGTATGTATGTATATACAGTATAATTGTGTGCACATTATATAGTGTGAGAAAAGTATCTGTACTTTGTTGTATGTTATATTTGATACTTTGTTTGTATTTATTTTATTATATTTAAATATATATACTTATATTCAATGTCTATGTGCAGACATGGGACCATCTCTGCATGGGTACTGCCTTTGGGGAGGGGATGGTTGTGGATGCGCAGAGTTCCCCTTTTACAAAACTCCAGTCTCATTTTGTTTTTAAACAATATAAGTGAATTGTTGGCTTAAAAAAAATGATGAGATGGAGTGATAAACATTACAGCTGTTCCCTCTACTACCACCAGATGAAGGCGGGGTGCTGATGAGGGGCATCATGTGGTAGTTGCTGCTGCCGTACGTATAAATGTACTTGTGGCCAGCACCTCACCACCTCATCATGACTGTTAAATGTTTCCCAAAGAAAGCTGCTAGGGAGTTTTTGCCTCTGCCTACACTCTGCTCTAACAGGGCACTGAGAGTCAGGGAAATGACTTGGAAATGTGGTATAGGGAGGAACAGGAAAAGAAACAAAGACTGGATTTCATCAGCCTTAACAAAGGACACCTGACTACACTCATTTACTTTCTGAGTTGGGGCACTTCCTTTGTGTCTGAGGACCACTTCAGGACTTGTTCAGTCTCTGCTCATTAATAGTCTCAGAGCTTTGAGTTTAAAAGCAGAGAACTCTGGAGACTGGGCAGGGCAAAAATTCACCAGACCTTCTGAGTCTGGCTGAACCATCCAAAACAGTTCTGCAGAGTTTGCTGTGACAGTTCCAGCAGCCAGTGGTAGCTAAATTCTCTGAGACGTTCCATCAAAGAGCTCTCAACCCTGCTGCTCCGGAGCTCAGTCCTGCAAACCTACCTGTGCCCAGGTGCCCAGGTGCCCAGAGATGGATCCCAAAGAGCCCAGAATCCTGCGATCTTGCTGATACCCAGAATGCACAGAGAAGGAGCCTAAAGAGTCCAGCAGGGGATCATGCTGCCCAAAGACAGAATATGGACACCTTCAGGACAGGTTCCTCCGCCCAAACCAAACCAAACAAAGCAACGAGCTCCTTTCTCTGCTCTCCCACTGTTAACAAAACTTCTCTCGACTTCCTAGCAGTTTTCTTCACTGCCTCAGCACCCTTGGCTCTTCACACCAGAGGATCCTTTGAGACGGAGACTAGGCTGAGCTCTGTAGGGAACTCAGCTGCCATGTTAGCCTGGCTCCTGTGCACTAAGTGCCAGAAGCAGTTAATGGCAACCCAACAGTGTCTCAAAACGAGGTCAAAAGTTCCCTGGGGAGGGAGCCAGATCATCCCCAGCTAAGAAGTATTTAATTTAAGGCTGAAATCCAAAACTTATGAGAGATACAACTTTTTTTCCTGTGTTTTGAAAAGTGGTAATGTATAAATAATATATTAAAATTTTAATATATATTAAATATAACAATATATTTAATATATTATATATATAGGGGGGTTCGAAACAGGGTTTCTCTGTGTAGCCCTGGCTATCCTAGAACTCACTCTGTAGAACCAGGCTAGCCTCGAACTCAGAGATCCTCCTGCCTCTGCCTCCCGCATGCTGAGATTAAAAGATGTGCCACTAGTGCCCAGCTGGCACACGTCTTTAACACCAGCACTCTGGAGGCAGAGGCGGGCAGATCTCTGAGTTCAAGGCCAGCCTGCTCTACGTAGTGAGTTCCAGGACAGCCAGGACTACACAGTGAAACCCTGTCTCAAAAACAAACAAACAAACCTATAAAGAGAGAAGAGGTGGTCCAGAATGCAGTGGTGCTGTGAGTCTGAGAGATGGTCAGGTTGAGGCGACACGAGGATTCCGTTCCAGGTATGTTCTTTTACCCCCTTTGCCCTGTTGATCTGCACAAATTTGCCCTTCGCGACTCTGTCTCATGGGCTGCATCCTCAGGCGGCATCAACATGCGTGTTCAGACCCTCCCCTCCAGCCGATGGGCAGAACTGGACATGGGGTTACAGGAAAGGAATAAAACTGAGTACTCCCCACTCCCCTTGGCCACTTGGCCTCATCATGGTGAGCTGGCTGACGGTTTCCCTCCTCCACAGACGTTGGTTGCTGTGGGATGCACTGCTAGGCCCTCTCCTACATGAAAGTGTGGCATCCTGTCCCTGACCCTTCAAACCTACATATGGAATGGTTCCTGGCCGCTGTTGCTCTAAGATACTGTGCTGTGGGATGTTCTGTGTTGCTCTGATTGGTTGGTAAATAAATCACTGATTGGCCAGTGGCCAGGCAGGAAGTATAGGCAGGACAAGGAGGAGAATAAAGCTGGGAAGTGGAAGGCTGAGTCAGAGAGACACTGCCAGCCGCCACCATGACAAACAGCATGTGAAGATGCCGGTAAGCCACGAGCCACGTGGCAAGGTATAGATTTATAGAAACGGATTAATTTAAGCTGTAAGAACAATTAGCAAGAAGCCTGCCATGGCCATACAGTTTGTAAGCAATATAAGTCTCTGTGTTTACTTGGTTGGGTCTGAGCGGCTGTGGGACTGGCAGGTGAGAGAGATTTGTCCTGACTGTGGGCCAGGCAGGAAAACTCTAGCTACAATATCCCAACTCCATCCATAGTCCATCCCCTTCCTGTTTTTCCGTTTCATTGATTTAAAAAATTACTTTTTTTTTTTTTTTTTTTTTGCAATGCTGGGTGTTGTCCTAGAACTTACGCATGCTAAGTTAGGCAAATGCTCTATCACTGGGCTGTATTCCCAGCACTTGGTTTTTTTGAGACGGGATCTCTCGCAATATAGCTCAGGCTGGCCTTGAACTTGTGATTCTCCTACTTCTGTCTCTTGAGTGCTGTGATTACAAGCATGAGTGGTCACCATGTCATGCCCCTGTCCACACTTCTGTACCTCATTCCTTGTTTAAAAGCTCCGCCGATTTCTCTTCAAGGTTGCCCTCTATTTCCTCCTTGAGTCTGATACAGACGATGTAGGAAAACATTTAGGAGAAAGGAAAGTCTGTGGTGGGATTTAGGGATTCTTGGGACCTTTGACCAAACACTAAGCAGGTTGATGTGCCCTGAACCAGAGCAGGACTTTTCTTCTGAACCAAACCGAGGCTCTGTTCTCCCACATTGGCTACTTATAGTAACTGAGAGCACATGTTCCCAAACCAAGAGAGGAGAAGGTTGTCCCAATCATGTCTTCCCCTCTCAAAAAGAGTCATGGCCAGGGATTCCAGAGAGCCACAAGAGAGAAAAGAGAGCCTAGGAGAGCAAGCTGTGCCCTTTATATCACTTGGGCCCTAAGAATGAATAGCACCTGTCCTCGGGAAGTGTACTACCTGAAAAACAAGGGGGGCATGTTTTCCAAGTCAGCACCAAAATTATTTTTAGGCACAAAAATGTCTCCATCTTCATGCTGACATATTCAGGATGAAAGGTAAAAAGGTCTGGTACGTGGAAAAAGAGAGGACCCACTGTTGGTTATGTTGGTTATGCCGCCGAGCTGCCCCTCGTGGCTGGTCACCGCCCGCGGCGGCCATGCCCGAGGAGGAGCGTGCCCGCGGAGGAGCGTGCTGATTGAAAGAACCATAGCCATGGTTATCTTTTTAGAGCTTTATTTGGGGGGGGGGGGGGGGGAGAGACAGAGAGAGAGAGAGAGAGAGAGAGAGAGAGAGAGAGAGAGAGAGAGAGAGAGAGAGAGAGAGAGAGAGAGAAAGAGAGAGAGAGAAGGGGGGGAGAAGGAGAGAGGGGGACCGACGGGGGGGGGGGGGGGGGGGGAAGGAGCGCAAAGGAGAGAGGGGACAGAGAGAGAGCCCACAGAGGGCCCAACCGCTTTTTAGGCTGGGAAGCCGGCGAAGGCTGATGACATAATTAAAGGACGTAAATAAGGACCAAAACCTTACACCCACTCTCTCCGTCCCTGGGTCGTCTGGGTTAGGCAAGGCAAGACCT